TGCAGAGGGACGGAGCCTTATCCAAGGCTGCCCAGGCTGACGTGAGCAAGCTGGGGACAAGGACGTCCAACCAGAACGTCTCTGAAGCTCCTTGTCCTTATTTCTAGAAGAAATGTTGCATCGCCTACTTTGCAGGATGGTTGACGGAACAAGAGATGAATGACACGTGGTTACTCCTAGTCTACGCAATTTCTGAAATAAGGAGACCATTTTTCCCTGGAGCAACGGATGGTTCTTTAATCTTGGACTCTCAGCGCAGGCCGTTTAGAATATTTCTTTTTATAAAAAAAAAAAAAAAAAATTCACGAATGCTTCATAATTATACGTAATAGTGGAGTTCGTTGTGACACATTCGTACGTGCCACAACAAAATAATTCGGAAAATTCCGTTCCCTTGGAATACTTACTACATAACTCTAGATGCAAACACAGACTGCAAGGCAGGTTTAATCGGAAGCAAGTTTGCAAGGCACTTGTTGCAAGTGGCACCCACACGGGGGAGAGGAAATAGGGGAGCCAGGGCCTAAAGGGGAGGCGGAGAGGACCTCCCCAGCCCCGGGGTGATCTGAGCTCCTCCTGAGCCCTTCAGAAGCAAAGTCCTCCCAGTCCCACTCCCAGGGAGACGCAGGGATTGGAATGCAGCGTCTCTCGGGTTGCAGTATTCAGACTCCCTCTGCACCGGCCTTTACAACAGCCGCCTCTCCTGTGCACTAAGGTTTTGGAGGTTGGAAAGCATGGATCTCTCCCCATTATTATTAGGCTGATATCCGAAGTTCAGTTTTCTTGTTAGGAACGTGTTAGGAATGCGCATTTGCATATTACGTATTTCCTATGCTTCACACTGAAGTCACTCTGAAGAGGTTCTCCCAGGCCTGCTCCCCCTCATGAAGAATCCCCGTGTGCCCCTGGAGGGCGGTCCACGCCACAGACCCCCTGGTGTAGCGGGAGGGCGGGCGTTGAGTGGGGTGGGGTGTGTGTGCTGGGATGCTGTATTTCTAGGCAGCTCTGGAGGATGTCAGTTTGGGGAGCACTTTCGATGTCCCCCAGTGCAGGGGGGCAGACCTCACCTGTTTCCTGAATGCAGATTGTACTCACGTGGTGACACCAGCCAAGGAGGACGACCTCTGACGGGCTGCGGAAAAGTCTATTTCTACAAGACAGATCCCCAGCCGATACTGACCCCCCTACCCACCCCGGTGGACCGTGGCCTTTGACCCTTGCCCATTGCAGATGTGTCCTGGAGGGAGAAAAGCAAACAGTAGACTTCTAGGAAACAGTGGGTCCCAGAGATAAGCACTGAACACCCACCCAGTTCTGAGTTTTTCACAGTGACAACAAGTTTCAAAGTTTTTCCAACGGCTTTCCTGAGCTAAGATCCACCTGGCTCAACCCGACCGTCCCAACGGCATGTCCACAGCAGTCTCCAGTGACTGATTCACCCTCCTCGTAAACCGTAAAGCCCAAACTCCTTCTGTCACCCGGGGGGGGGGGGGGCCATCTTCCTACCCAGAAAAGGAGCCCTCCCGTGCCGGATGGATCAGCTTCTCTGCAGAGTAAAGGGGAGCTTGCAGGTCCGAGGTCTGGCGCCTGCATCCTTCCTGGGCCGGGAGCTCACGACCTCCCTCTCCAAGGCGCCAGGCAGATGCAGACCTTTCCCAACTTGCACTTGGATCCCGTCCCCATAAACCCGTTCATGAGGTGAAACTCTTTGTAAGGCCAAGTGTACTGAATGCGTCCAACCTCCCAAACAGCCCATCTTCTCCACCCAGCACCCTGGAGAGGGTCTTGTGTTCCCCCTGGTGATCCTGTGGCTGATGGGGACCTGGGGCTCCCCACTGGAAGTGTCCAGCACCCTGGGAGAGGAGCTTCCTCCTGCATCACACGGGCTCCTCCCAGGTGAACTTAAGGCCAGGACGGCATCCAAGGATCACTTAGCAGCAAGCCCCCGTGTCCCATGAGGAAAACACGATTTTGCCAACATAAACTGTAATTCACAGAAGGAAACGATTCCTACCTCTGCATAGGCGCCGTCCATGTTTGGCTGTTAGGAGGGTCATAAAGGAGCTAAAGTATTGTGTACAAGACCTATCACCCCAATCTAGCTTGTGATAGAGAAGCATTCATCATCATACTGGATTATTTTAATTTTTTTTGTCGCGGGGGGGGGTACTGGGGATGGAACCCAGGGGCACTAAACCACTGAGTTACATCCTCAGCCCTTTTTATATGATATTTAGACACAGGCTCTTATTGAGTTGCTCAGGGCCTTGCCAAGTTGCGGAGGCTAGCCTCCAAGTTGTCATTCTCCTGCCTCAGCCTCCAGAGCAGCTGGGATTGCAGGCATAAACCACTGCACCCTGCGGTTGATTCCATTTTCAAGAGCTTGTCTTCCGTCTTATGCATGCAAGGGATGTTTCAGAAGAATGTGGAAAATGAGCCTTTAAAACAACAGTGTGCTAGCTTCTGAGAGTACAAAGATGAATAGAAAGATATACTCCTAAAAAACACAATGACATGCACCACGTCTTCACGTCTGGGGAACAATAAAGATGAAGGCCACGCATTTCTCTGATGTTCTCCTCTGCAGTTCACAAGAGGCTCTGCCGTGGCAACTGCGGTTCACAGAAATCGCCTCCCGCGATTCCTGCCCCGAGCTGCTGTACACGAAATCGAGCAAGCGTGACCCTCCCAAGTATCTCAAGTCCTTGGAAGTCTGACACCCTCGACCTCTTCTAAACGTTGGCTTATTTTTGTAGCACATCTCTAGGAGGCTTCAAAAGACAGGCAAACCCCTCAGCTCACTGCTAGGAGTGAACTACCCCTGACCTAGGGATCAATTATGACACGTAAGCTAGCCTTCTGATTTTTGTTTTAAGTTTTTAAAACAAACTTAAAAAAAAAAAAAGACCTAACAAACAAGAATGTCATGATGTGACCAAAACGAAGAAAAACAACTTTCTCATCTGAATATCCATTTTTTTTTCCATTCCAGAGAATGGAAGGAAATTGAGGAGAACTCTAAAGACTCCAGCTATTGAGTATTGGTAGTAAACCCAGCATTTTTTATTTTATTTTGGTACCAGGGATTGAACTCAGGGGCACCTGACCACCAAGCCCTATCCCCAGCCCTACTTTGCATTTTATTTAGGGACAGGGTCTCACTGAGTTGCTTAGTGCCTTGCTTTTGCTGAGGCTGGCTTTGAATATGCAATCCTCCTGCCTCAGCCTCCCAAGCCAGTGGGATTACAGGCATGCACCACCGCGCCCGGCATCCCACAGATATTTCTGCAGTGAGTTTGCTGTGGATTGAGCTGTATCTCCCCCAAAGATATGTTGGATTCCTCACCCTCAATACATGAAAAAGTGGCCTTATTTGAAAGCAGAGTCTTTACAGAGATAACCGTGTTGCAATGTGATCATTTGGGTAGACTTTAACCCAATATGACAGGTGTTCTTAGAAAAGGAGAAAATTTGGACACAGAGACTCACAGAGGGAATAGGATACTACAAGATACAGGAAACAACAACCACACATAAGCCAAGGAGAGAGACCTGGAATAGACCCTTTGCCAACAGCACTTAGAAGGAAATAACCCTGAAATCACCTTGAGTTAGGACTCCGGGCTTTCATAAGACTAACAACACATTTCTGTTGTTCAGATCCCCTAATTTGTAGGACTTTGTGATAATAGCCATAGTAAATTCATGCAGAATCCACGAATGACTGCATTTGGGTTACAATCCCTTGTCTTCCCAGCATCCTCAGAGGGAAATTGTGACTGCATTACATGGTGGAAAGCGGCTATAGACTGTAAAATGTAATTTTGTCGACCACTTACTATTCCTTAGTACCAAGGGATTCCCTTGCCTCTGCTCATTTGGCACCCTCATTTTACACATGAGGGAGCTAAGGCCTAAATGCCCCCCCCCATCTCTATCATATATAAGCTGAACTCTGGGGTTTCTGTGTCCACTGACTATGCCCTTAAGTAGAAACACACCCTCACGTTTTAAAGTGAAACTTTATCGTTTCTGCTTCTTGTAAGGTCCCATCCGCAATGGATGAGAAGAAGATGTAAAAATGGTGACCAGAAAGTAATTTCTGAAGTTGGGGGGGGGGGAGACAAGCTTTCCAGGTTGCACCCTGAAACATTGGAAAAGGGGGCGAAAAGGCAGGCAAAAAGCCCTAAGACAGGAACAGCTGCAGCACATTTTTTTTTTAATCATTTCCTATCATTCCAGGATCCTCCTTTCCTCTCTGGATTCTGCCCAGCTGCCCCCTGGACAATGCACACTGCTCTGAGGATTGGCACATGCATTTCTTTTTTTTTTTTTTTTTTGGTGGGGGGGAACCAGGGATTGAACTCAGGGGCACCTGACCCCAAGCCCCATCCCCAGTCCTACTTTGCACCTTTTATTTAGAGACAGGGTCTCGCTGAGTTGCTTAGTGCAGCTCAGAGAGGCGGATGCTCCACTGCGCATGCGCCGCGGGCCCTGCTCCGGGCCCTGCAGGGAAGCCGGCGGGCAAAGCCGAAAGGGAGCCTGGCCCAGTGACCCGGAGTCGGCTCCAGGGGGCTCGGACCGACCCGCTACGGGTGGCGGTGGGCAAGGCCATTTGTGTGCAATCGGTGGCGGGCGGCGGTGGCACTCGGAGCACCTTTGCCGGCCCCTTGCCCGATCCCCTGACCCCTGCCTGCCCCCTCCCTGACTCCCTTTCCAAGTCCTCCTTGACTCGCCTCTGCGCGGCCTGAGGCTGCGAGGCTCGGCCAGTTTCTGGAAACCGGTGAACACCTGCCCCTCTCCCGCGCCGCTTTTGTGCTGGGCGACGGCGGCGGCGGCCGCCGAAGCTGCAGAGGCCCGGGCACGCAGCGCGCGTGCTCGGAGCCGCGCGAGTCCGCCCGAGAGCGCGCGTGCGCGGGGGGGCGCCAGAGGCCCGCGGCCGACGGGCGGCAGGCAGGCAGTGCGCATGCGCAGCGAGGCTGCGGCGCGTGCGCGGGGACCCCGGGCGCGCGCCGCTCTTCCCCGCCCCCTCCCCGGCAGAGATGGCAGCGCCCGCGCCCGCGTCCCCGCCGCGGCCCGTCACCCACCTCATCTTTGACATGGACGGCCTGCTTCTGGGTGGGTAGCGTCCGGCGAGGGCCGCCGGCCGAGTCGGGGCGGGACGGGGAGTTTCAGGGCTGGGGACCCGCGGCGCGGCGGCGGCGGCGGCGGCGTCCGGGCCGGGACCCTCGGGCTTCCGCGCGCTCCGCCCCGGGCCGTCCCCGAAGTCGGGCGGCGGCCGGAGCCCGCGGTCCCACGACCAGGCTGCCGGGTGCGCGTCGCGGCCGCGTCGTCCGCGGCCCCAGCGCCCGCTTCCGGCGGGGCCCGAGCACGTGGGGCGCCGCCCCTGGGGACCCCCGGCCGGTGTGCCACCCGCCCCGCGCCCAGCCTCAGTGTCCCCAACTGCAAAGGGGCGCGGAGGGTACCTGCCCCCGGGCCGCCGGCCGAGGTGAGCGCACCTTGATTGTCGCGCCCCGCAAGGTGTGGCTTCTCACCCCGGTGGCCTCGTCCCCCTGGGGACCTGGTCACAATCGGAGGCATTTTTGAATGTCACAGCTGGAGCACGGAGGTGGGGTTACCTGCACCTAGTGGACTCCAGCCCATTGCACAAGACAGCTCAGAAGCAAGCCATGACAAGGACTTATCCGTCCCCAGGTGTCCCGGTTGGTGCAGAGGTGGGGAAGCCCTGCCAAGTGGCCTGGCCGCCCAGCCTGGCCAGCCAGCAGCCAGGGCATTACCTGGGAAGTGCAGAGGCTGGTGCCCCAGCCCACACCTGCCCCGTTGGACTCTGCGTTTGAACCCAAGCGCCTGCAAGGGTGAGCAGTGCCGCTCTGCGGATCTGAGGCCCAACAGATCCTGGATGGTGTACCCCGGGTCAGTGCAGGTCGTGGACAGTTCGCTAGCCTGGAGGAAGCCAGGGAGAGTTCAAAGACAACACCAGGTAGATAACTGCAGACAGGAACTCGACCCCCCAACCTCAGCAGAACCAACAGAGTGAGCCACGCTCAGTGTCCCACGCTCACATCCACACCAGACCTGCAGATGAGTCAACATCCCACACACTGCCCTTCCACGGCCGACCTCTGCGTGTGCATAGCTGATTGCTGATCTCAGAACACGGCTAGGTAGGAGGAAGTATTTGCCTTTGACTAACTAAAAACAAAAACAAAGTCTGAGGCTCAGAGAGCTGTGAAGTCAGCTCTCTGTCCCTGTGATAAAGCAACCGAGAAAAACAACCTGCAAGGAGGAGAGATGTGTTCTGGCTCACGGTTTCAGTCGGTGGTGGGCTGTGTCCCCCGCCCCGGGGCCTGTGGTGAGGAGGAACACCATGATGGAGCCGACCTGTTCACCTTGTGGCCACTGGAAAGCAGACAGAGGAAGTGATGGGGAGAAACATATAGTCCCCAAGGGCACACCCTGAAGGACCCACACCCTTCAACCAGGTCCCACCCCCTACAGTTTCCACCACCTCCCCAAAATGTCATTAAATTACAAATCAGAGCCCTCAGGATCCCGTGGCTTCCAAAAGCCCCACCTCTGGACATTGGTGCAATTGGGGACCAATAGGGAACATTCAATTTCCAAATTATAAGACACCTAAAAGTACTTGCCCAAGGTCTCACAGCCAGTACAGAAGTTAGCAGAGAAGGATTCTGAATTGATTTGCTTCTAAATATGTGTGATAATTAGCTCATCTTCATGTTTGAATGTGACCTTGGTCTCTGTTCATACTGCTGAGTATTCAGTGGTAATGAGACTGATTTTTTTTTTTTTTTTTTTAACACACACCAACTAGTCTCTTCATTTTATGGACACAGATGTAAATTGCTGAATTTCAAAAGGGTTGAAGAAATCCCCACAGAGGTCCCTAATTGGAACAAGCAGTGTCTTGTAGGTGCTCAATTTGAAATGACTCCATTTCAGAAAGCGTTTGGGATTCCTAAGTGTAGTTCCTAGATGTGAATTTTCTTACTCAAGTGGTCAAGAAGTTTAATTGTCAAATACGTTCCTTATCCCCCTAGTGAAGGGTCGGTCCAGGTGACCTGTCCTAAGAGGCTCATGAATTCTAATGCAAACCGAGATCTCTCATTAAAGTCAACTTGTAAAATTAGCTTGATGCCTGATTTTGATCCTAGATTCACGTAGAGCCATATGGATGTGACTTGGGTGGCATTGCTCGTGGGGGGGTGGTTATGGAGTTATGGACCAGGGTCTCTTGACAGCTGAGCTGGACGGGTTCTCAGAGGCCGATCAGCACCCTTACCCTGGTGATCCTCTCTTCTGATCAGAGAGTTGCATTCCTGTTGTTTGGAAAGAGAGACCTAACCCTGTTACCCTCCCCCATTTTCTGCCCTCTTATCTTCCCCAAGTCTCCTTTTAGCTTTCCCAAGGACCAAATCGTACCTCCTCTAATTCTGACTGCAGTATATCTTGTTTGCATAACAATGGATCCCGGATTTCTAAGGGCTCCTTTCTCCGTGGGTCTGTTTGTCTTTGGAGTTTTGAATGCACTTCCCCAGGAGGCCGGCTTTGTCCCGCGTAGCCCCAATAGTGCAGTTCACAGGGAAGTGAAATCCAAAACAGTTTCTAGGGGAATGCTGTGTTCCTGGGAACTTGTGCAATGCAAGAATGAGGAAGTCAGCAGGACTTCAGCGAGATTCTCAAGGACGCCCGCCCGGGCACTTTACAGTGAGTGTTATTGTGCTGTTGATTGTCCTTTTAAACAGAAAGCACACTTCTCCTTCTCGATCTTTTTTTTTTTTTTTGGTGGTGGTTGTTGACACAGGTAGCGATGAATCGGCTGTGACTCACATAATAGCCAATGCCATCAGAGAAAGAGAAGAGGGACATGATGTTGAGGGAAGAGGCCAAGTGTCTGGGCCCCTCAGCAGCAGGGTAGGGACGAGAGCCAAAGATCCCGGTTTCTTCAGAAGTGGAGGGATCTTGCTTTCCGGAGTGGCTGGGTCTCAGGAATGCAGTGAAGCCACGGTGTTTTCTGAGCAGCTTCAAACAAGCAGAAGGATTTAGACAACTCTGATTTGGATGATGTGTTTGTACAACTCAATGTTCCCCCAAATATTGTTCACACATAGTATAAGAAACTTGGAGTTTTGTCACACTTGTTTTTAATACTAAGTCCTCAAAATCTGTGTATTTTACACTCGACACATCTCAGAGTGATGTGTTTTGTTTTTTTTTTTTCTTTTTTGGTGGGGAGGGTACTGCAGATTGAATTCAGGGGCCCTCGACCCCTGAGCCCCATCCCCAGCCCTACTTTGTGTTTTATTTAGAGACAGGGTCTCACTGAGTTGCTTAGCGCTTTGCTTTTGCTGAGGCTGGCTTTGACCTCGCGATCCTCCTGCCTCAGCCTCCTGAGCTGCTGGGGAGCTAGCCTCATTTTGAGGGGTCACTGGCCACTTACTGGCTGGAGAGCACAGACCCAGATTATGGGACAGCAGCCCCTCTGGATGAAGGCTGAGGTGGGAGGGCCAGGCGGAGGTGGATGTAACAAGGCACAGAAAGAGCCATTTTGGTGTGCACAAACGTGAAAGGTGTTTTTAGGAGTCTCCTACAGTCGTTATGTAAACCTCCTAGAGAGTCACCAAGGAAATAAATGTGTTTTTGAATTCTTGAAGAATGGGCAGAAAGGTCTGGGTGTAGCCCAGTGGTGGAACATCTGCCCCGTACAAGGTGCTGAGTCTCATCCCCAGCATCACACTGTGTGTGTGTGTGTGTGTGTGTGTGCGCGCGCGCGCGCGTGCACACGCGTGTAGCTCCAGAAAACACCAAGATGATAAATCTGAGAGGGGAAGTAAAAATATGTGTGTTCTGGTTTTGGTGTTCACACCCCCAGATGTACCAGATGGCAGGATTTGATGGGTGACAGGAGGATTTGTGGTTGACCGTCGTGTGCCGGGACAAGGCCTGTCCTCTACCCCTCGCCCTCCCACAGCTTCCTCTTTCTAGGGAATGGCACCGCCTCTGATGGGTCCCAGGTGACGCCCTCAGGTCCTGGGGGCAGGGTCCCTGGAGTGCTCAGGGAGCCGTGTGCCCAGGCAGTCACTGGTGTGCTGAGCGGTGGGCAGTGGGTCCCGCACCCACAGACAGGAGGTCAGCGGGCTCAGGGTCCCGTGTCCTGTTAACTTGGCCCAGACTCCTGCCTTAAACCCCAGGACAGACGTCCTCAGACCTGAAGACAAAAATAGACTCCCCTTACGCAACCTCAGCACGTGCACGTGCCCTGGGTTATTTTTTGGAAGAATGTGCCCCTGTTTTCCTTGAACCCGGATCCCTCTGAGGCTTGAGAGGGGAGGTCAGGAGCTCTGGCTGTCAGAGGGTCCCTGTCACCTCACGTCATGCAGTCATCCAGTCCCTGGGGTTTCTGTGCGTTGGGCACATCTCTCAGGGCGCGCAGGCCTTTGTGTGTGGTTCTCCTCTGTCCTGGAAACCTGCCGAGATGCTGGCCGGAGGGAAGCAGTGACCTCCTGGGCCTGCAGCCCCCGCGCCGTGCTGGGGGGTGGCTTTGGAATCAGGGCGACCGCGTGCTTGGCCTGCGCTCTGGGTTTGCCCTGGTTTCCTGAGAGCTAAGTGTGCCTGGGTTTTACTTCACCTTGGAGGTGAAACGTGGGGCCACACTGAGGCCAGCTGCCTCCAAGGGGCCTCCTCATCAGGGTGTCCTGGGTGAGCCAGGGTCCGGTTTCTGGAGAGCTCTGTGCCTCTTGAGGACAGGAGCGCCTTGGAGGCGGGGGCCTGCTGCGTGGAGGAGGCCCATGAGCACCTGAGGCCTCAGCCCCAGGCGTCCTGTCTCCTCGCAGACCTGGACCGGGCAGCCCAGTCTGTCACTGTGTCCGTGTTGAGTGTCCAGCCCAGCTGCCCTTGTCTGAGTGACGGAGCCGGTTGCGGTTTCAGTTGCAGGTTCCGCAGGCCGATGGGCCTCGTGTCCAGCTGGCGGTGGACAGCGTCTTGCCGCGCTGCAGGTGGGAGGGGGCTTCCTCACCACGCCCCTCCCTTCCTCCTCCTCCCTGGGGTGGGATCTGGGCAGAGTGGAGGCACCCTGCTCCTGGCCTTTGTTTGCTGTTTGGGGACAGGTGTCACTTTGCCGTTTCTCCTGGAGAAGCTGCGTGTAGGTAGGGGACTGTCGGTTCCTTGTGTCTTTCTGACCGTCTGCTCTCGACCCCGATTCGCTCTTTTCAGCTTCTGTACTTCGAGTCTCAGTTCCTGTCTGTCATTAGTCAGGGGTAGATGGAGATCCGTGGCCATCAGGAGCCAGCCCCTGAGAGATGTCTGCTGAAGGCAGTCTTTTCTAGGTTCCCAGGTGACCTCTCCGACTCTTCACCTGTGGCCTGAGTCACTGCTGCCTTGGAACCTGTCCCCAGTGCAGCAGCATGAAAGGGGTGGGGGGCTAGGCCACCAGGGCTCCAGCCTCTGCAGTGGGCCTCTTGGCCTCTTGGAGAGGCCCTGGAGCTGATTGGCCCCAGCTGCCCGCCCTAGGAGCCCACATCAAGGAGGTGCCGTCTGCAAAGCAGAGAGCAGGCCTCTCCAGCACCAGGTCTGCCGACACCTGGGCTTGGACCCCGTCTCCAGAACCAGGGGCACTCCCCGTTCCCCTCCAAGCCCGGCCCAGCGCCAGGCATTGTGCTGCAGCAGCTGGGACAGCAGCCTGGCGTCCGGCCAGAGGGAAGCACAGCTTAAGGGGCGTCTCCCACGTCAGGTGTCGGTGATCAGCTGTGCCTGACGCGTGGCACCTGTCCACCACGAGCTTCGTCCCCCTGGGTCCCAGGGCGGGGGCAGGGATTTGGGTCCACGTTCTTGTGGTTTAAAATTGTCACCTTGGTTCCTACCAAGAATCTTCTTGGACAGTGTTAGGGTGTGGGTGTGAGTGACCCCCAGAAGCTCATGTGCGAGGAAATGGAAAAAGGTTCAGAGGAGGAGTGGGTTGTGAGAGCCTTCACCCACCTGTGAGTCAGTCCCGCGATGGGGATTAGCTGGGTGTAACTGGAGGCAGGTGGGACGGCGGCAGGGGCAGGGGGTGGGCATGGGGGGCGGGGCTCTGGGGCATATATTTTGTGACTGGCAGCAGAGCCTCTCTGCTCCGTGACCCTCATGTGAGCTGCTTCCCTCAGCCACCTCTTCTGCCATGGGTCCTGCCTCTCCTGGGCCCCGAGGAGTGGAGCCCCCTGAACCGTGAGCCCCCAGGTCCAGCTCTCCTTCTCTACAGTTGTTCTGGTCGGGTCTTTCAGTCACAGCAGTGAAGTCGCTGACTAAAACAGACTGTCCCTGTCCTCTCCCCTGCGTCTCTGCCATAGACCACCCCCAGGGCAGCGTGACCTCCCCTGGGCTTTACAGGGGTGCTCCAGCCAGGTTTGGGCGCAGGACGCCTCG